TTACACTGCTAAATTAGAGACGGCTAGCGCAGATAGCCCTCGTGTAGCTTTGCGCGAAATTCCAAAACAAACAATTCTTAACGTGAACATGTTCATAGATACGGTCACTATTAAGGTGGATCCCGAACAAATTATATGAATTCTAATATTTTAATAATATCCCCAAGTAGCGTTGCTGTAGTTGATACAGACAAATTGCAGTTTACGAACTTAATGTTACGTTGACCATAGCACTATACAATTCCATGTTTAAAGCGTGGTTAGTATTTTAATAAGTTGACGCATTTCTCTTTCATTAACAGTTTTTCCAACGAAATATGAATAGTTGCCTTTGCTCATGTATATGTAGTTGGGTAATAAACAATTAGAATAAGAATATAACATCATCCTGTGGGTCCGCGATAAGTTTACGGACTTATAACGCTAGAATTCAGGGTTCGATTCCCCGTTGTGGACAGAGTGCAGATAGCTCATTGTGTAGCTTTGCATTAAGAAAATATAAGAATAATTCAAAGAACTTAAGAAGTGTCTGGAAATCGTATTGTAATACCCAACACATTTTCATTTACAAAACCAGTACTGTGTATAAATGTTTGTTTAATAATCAATTTTTTTTTATCCAAGAAAAACAATGCACGGCAATAGAATTAAACAAAGTAAGTTCATTTTAGATTAGAGATGTTTAACAAAGAAGATATAGTAGCCATGATTAAACTTTACCTATATTTCTAAACTGTTCTGGAAACTATTTTAAAATCGAACTGAAATGTTTTTAAGGTAACTGACAAAGAGGTTTATTAACCTACCGGAAGTATAAGTCCACTGGAATACACACTGTTTACAGAAAAGTCCTCGTGGAAGTCGTACATGGATATGGAACGTATCTGGCTTTGCATGAGGTATGTTGTATTTATAGCCTGATCCATCCGCCAGGACAAGAGGATGTCGATCTAGACACTGTTGTGTAGCAACTTTTTTGGGATCATTATTTGGGCATAGTTTAAATTCGAAGAACCCCAAATGGTTTGCAGTTAATTGCACTTTAACTGTGATTACCTGTTATGAAAAAATATAGATACATTAGCATAACAAACTATTAGGTAGAGTTTGCTGCTACTAGTTTAATTTTCTCACAGTCTTTGAACTTGTGAAGACTGATTTAAAAACAATGGTATTTTC